TAACAGCACACAAACAAAAGAAGTGACATTAATGTATATTAATAATTAAATTTGAGCAATGAGTTGTACTACTTGGATACTTACCTTCGGTATTTTGTACATTGAATGTAACTTTAAGTTTTCCACTTCCATCTGTAGATGCTAGTGTAGCAACTCCATCGATAGTCACTAAGGTCTGGTCAACAACGTGACTATTGCGCACAGAAACAGTGTTGCCGGTCAAAGTGTAATGTGCGTTGGGGCATGTGCCGTCTTGGAATGCCGATGGATAAGATTCGACGTCGTACCATAAATTCATATACTAAAACAGATAAATAGGATATTCCAATTTGATTCGCAATTTGATAATATAATTTATACATAACTAGCTTCTGCCCGCGACTTCGTATGCGCAACCCCGATATTTCCCGTTCCCGTTCTTGATTTCCGGTAAAAAGTAAAAAAAAGTATTGGGTAAAAAGTATCCTATGTCTGTCTCCTGGTGCTAAGCTACATCCTCAACAATTTTCATCCAAATCGATTAAGCTATTCTTGAGTTATAAATAGTGTAATTAACACGACTTTCTTTTATATATACAGATTATTAAAATTTGTATGGACGTGTAGTTATCAAAGCCGGTTACAAGTTACAGTAAATTACCTTGTTGAGATCAAAATCTTTAACAGCTTCAATAGTCTGGTCACACTGACCACGGAAAATGACGTTAGAGTTTGGGTTGACTTCTGGGAAATAGAAACAAGCCTCAGGTCTGCGGTCTACTGAATAGTAGTAAGGCTGGTGCAATACTTCGATTTCATCAATTACTTTGTTTATTGCATTGATTGCATCCGTGGTCAAGGTATTATAGCGACTAAACTTCCAGCTTGTGACTAAAAGAAACCAAAAGCATATAATTATTATTATGTCAAAATTTGAATACCTATTTTAAATTGTATATCTTAAACAATGTGGCGTTGATAACAGTGTGTAGTAACTTATTTAGTAGTAGTAAGTAAAAGAAATTGTATAGAGCTTACTTCTTCTTCGGTCATTGTCCATGTTTTGACAGCCATATGTCAGTGCATATGATTTGTAATCAGTTGCCAATACCAACATAACATACTCTCGATTTCCTAGAAAAATAGAAATTTAGTTTTAGCCCCTGTTTACTTCAAAACATGATTTAGGAGATCTCTAATACCATAGATCTCTGTGCTTGCTGACAGTCAATTAGCGATTTCAAGCTTGAACAATGTATAATAATTATGTATTAATTTGACTTGACCGTTATTCGAAGCTTATTTAATTGAGATAGGCCTTCCGCTTCCCTCCTTCCGCTTTTCCTGTATGTCTATCTCTTTCTACTACGTCACTTCCATTTGGCAGTGGTGGGGAGGCTTGCTAAGAGAGACTCGCCATTTTTATTTCATTGGCGTCTTG